TCCTCCACATAATTCTATCCCTCTGTGGTACTGGAGAACGTAACCAGGCTTCCACTGGGGTGAGGGGTGGGGGTAGAGGACGGAAAACTGCCTCACTCTCTTAGTTGTTGCTGTTAAGTTGATACCAAAAGTTGGAGTTTTTGATCCCTTCAGGACTACGGATTCGGGCCAAGGAGTCGGACCTGGTCCAATACCCAGGATGAATGATACCCCGGCTACTCCTTCTCTTCAAGGGGGGGGGGGGTGACTCATGACCACTCTCTGACCAATTCGACGGTAAACAATGGACCACTACTAATAACAAACCTAGACCTCATTAAGATGTATTGTTAAAGACTCAAATAAATTTCTTTACCGTAAATGTGCTGAAGCCCATGACACCATCACATGCACTAGTCAGATTTCCAAATGTGCAAACTGTGGAGGTCCCCATTAGTCAGGCTCTGCTGAGTGCAGCACCCTGAAGGAGACTGAGACATTAGCATATATGAGAAAGCATGAAGTTAGTTATACTAAAGTTAGGAGGAAAGTGCAAAGTTTGACACACAAACCCGATACTTCCTATGCTGCAGCAGTAACTAACATCACCCCTAGTGCAAGTAATGTCAGTCAACAGCTTGCAGCTAAGGATAAAGAAATTGCTGAACTGAAACAAACCGTTAAAGAATTAAATATTAAAGTATATCAGTTGACTAAATTGGTCGATCAAATGGCTGTTTCCCCAGCATGAACATCCCGAGGGAGATCCCCGGGAAGTGAGGGAGAGGAGGTGCCTCCCTCTCATGAAAATAAAATAAAAATTGCCGGACAAGACACTTCTAAACCCCATAACACATAATCTTCGCGTCGACCATTATATAATAGAACTGTCGAAGTCTTAGATCTAAAGTAAATGTCCCTGACGAGGTAGTTTCGCTGAGGAACTACTATTTATGTCGGAGTGATCGTGAGGGTAGGGGTGGAGGCGGAGTCGTCATGTACATCAACCAAATCCTCCCTTTTACTGAAGTGACTATTGATTTTACTTTGGAGTTTGTCGCATGCAAAGTAAAAATTAATGACTATATGTTCAGTTTATTGTCAACCCAGATAATGTGATAATCTATGATGAGCTCTTTGCTCTTCAGGATATTTTGCCACAAAATAAATTAATTTTAGGTGATTTTAATGCTCATCATACATTATGGGCTTCCCTGCGGGTAAATGGTAGAGGTGAGCAACTAAAGTTGATTAATGATTCTAATCTGCTCCTTTTGAACGATGGTAGTCCGACGCTGGTGGACGATAATACCGGTAATTTGAGCTTTATTGACCTATCACTTGTCTCTTCATCAATAGCAGCTATGTGCATGTAGCACACCATTGACAACTCGTTGGGAAGTGATCATCTTCCTATTTCTATTGAATATTCAAGCGACACAGTGAGAACGCCTTTAGCACCTAAATTTAACGAAAAAAGAGCAGACTGGGTCGCCTTAACAAGTAGCGTCAAGGACGAACTTATTGGAGAAAGTTAAAAATATTCAGAATTTGATTTTAGAATCAGCATTGCTATCCATTCCTAAAACTTCGACAGATAGGTTAAGCATAGAGTTCCATGGTGGACACCAGATTGCCGCAGGGCACTGTGCCAACGCAATAGGGCCTACAGGCTTTTCAAAAATAACATCAATAACGAGAACTTTTGTAACTACAATAATAAGACAAGCAAAAAGAGACTCCTGGCAGAGCTTTGTCTCTACAATTAACAGCAATCCAAAACAGTATCCTCTACTGTCAATAAAACAAATAAGAAAAAAACATCTTTCAAAATTAAAAACATCATCCACAAGGATACTAATTTCAATTCACCAAGAAACATTGTTAATGCACTTGCTAGGCAGTTCTCTTGTACAAGCATCTCAAACAATTACCATCCCGCATTCATGACCATCAAGGAAGCGGCTGAGCTGCAACCTATTCACTTTGCCACAGGGGATGATAAAGCATCTTACTCATGATGCCATGATTAAGTTGCTAGAAGTGTACAATGAAATTTGGAAAAGCCACACTTTTCCAAACTCATGGCACTTTGCCCACATTATTCCGATATTGAAAGGAGGGGGTAATCCCAGATCCGCTCTTTATGACCTTATATAGATTGATAGAATGAATAGGATCCATTGGCTTAATAACCTTGGCCACATGCCACTGGTTGATAGCCAAGAAATCCAACAAAGAAAGAAAGAATTTGATGGTGTTATTTCTATGATAAACATTATAATTACTATAATATTATAAACATTAGTAACAGCAAAATAAGATGACATAAAATACTTTTGTAAATCAAAGAAAAGGGTAAACGGGTGAGACAGGCAGTGCTCGTAATTGACTCATTGATGATTTAGTACAAGTGTAGCATCTATGCGTAAAAACAATTAAACAAGCAACTCAGTGGGCTTGGCACATATGTACACGTTATGTCTATCGGCATTAGGTTAAGGGGACCTCCTTAAGGCATTTGGCCTTCATGCCCAAACAGCTGCCTCTGCCCAGCCAATAATCATCAAGTAGTCCCATGTTATTCATTATTTGAATAATTTCTTATCCTAGCTGATGTAAGGAGTGGGTATTTGTGACATATCAAAGAGAATGATATACATTTTATATTTATATTTTTTTCATGACAAAATAACAAAAACATGGCATCTTCCAGTTCATGAATACAAATCAGGCTCAGAGAAGCAAAACAAACAATATATACAACATAGAACATTAACATTTCCTGTCAACTAAGTAAACACATCATACAAAGGAAAATATTTAAACAAGAAATCTCTACTATACATAGATGCAAGTTGGTAAAAATAGGTTGCATATAACTACACACCCACATATGGCCAAAAAATTATAGTATACATTTAGGGTTCCAATTGCCCTTAAAGCTTGGTTGTTTTTTTTTCATGAAGATGGTTTAATATGGTTTACCATGTCAATGAAAAGGAAGCTATAAATGTCAATTCTCTAAATACAAATTATGTGCAATCACTATGTGCCAGAAATAATCCCTTTATGAAGGCACATTCAAGTTCAGCATCAGATTACTTTATTTAAAAAAGAAAAAAACATAAGGCACGAAATTAAATAGAGGTTAACAAGTTCTTTTTCGCATAATCTCAGACTAGATAAATAGCATAAGTCAAAATTACATTTAATTTCCTTGCAATCTTTGGGTAGCAGCCTTGGGTATCATCAACATCATTCACAGGAAAAACAAGTTTGTCATATAACTGTGAACACCAAGTGTAGTATCATTCTATAAGTACCCAAAATGTCTAGAAAATCACAAAGTATTTCATTTCCATTTCTATTTCATCGTAGCTTTTCTAAGATGACTTTTATGCTGAGCCCAACAGCATATCAATAAGTATGGTCAATTTGATACTATATTCACATATCAACACATTACTGATAAAATATTAAGTTTCTGGAAAATCTTCCTAGAAGAATGTAAAATCAATAAAAAACTAAAAGCATTGCCATAATACGTAAGATTCCATAAATATGAGGTATTTCTGACGTTATCCTAAAAATATCACCACATAATTGAAACTTAACATATACCTAAACCTCAATTACCAATTACCAAAATGCATTAACAGTTACAGAAATTTTGTATGTTAAAGTGTATATTGTATACTAAATGATAAACATAAAACAGGAACTGACAGAATGATACCTTTTCCTTACCAGAGTCTAATGTATAGAGGGAAATGTTTATATGATCTGTTTAGGTATGATTTCCTCATCCTCAAAATGACTACTATTGATAAAAAAATAAACAAAATAATAAGATGATACACCACAGAGACTATTTGGAATGGTATGTTGAAATATTTAGTCCATTCTGAAATTTCTTATTCATTAAATTCATTACAATGGAGGGATTCTACCTCTCCACATCACCAAACTATTGTAAATTCTATGCAAATTGTACAAAATATTAATATTTTTGGTATAATGAAGATCCTAAAAGTAACTTCTGGACACTAGTTGAAAAGGATATATTTCAGACAGAGCAATAAATTTCACATTATCTAAACAAAATTTACATTTAAAAAGTGTGCTCTTATACATATGAACTATTAAAGTTACTTTCCTCTGTAAGTTTAATTGAGAGCTAATGCTCAAAAATAAAGATTATCCTGAGCACAATTCTCTTAACCCATTCCTGCCGGGCATGCCATGCTATGGCCACTGTGAGATTACTTGTTTGATTGTTTTTACATATAGTTGGCTACACTTGTACTAAATCACCAATGAGCCAGTTACGAGTACCGCCTGTCTCGCCCGTTCACTCTTTTCTTTGATTTACAAAATGTTTTATGTTATCTTATTTTCTGTTACTAATGTTAAAAAACATTATAAAAATTATAATGTTTATGATAAAAATAACACCATCGATATTCATGGCACTAGTGAAAAATACGTTTTTTCCCACCATTTCAAATCGGCGCTAACAGAGCCATCTATGGGCAGACATTTAACAAAAAAGTATAGAAAATAGGCACAGCATTTTCCCCATTTTTTGTTCATTTTCCCCGGCGGCAATGGGTTAAAACATTCAAACAACACACTGAAGTGTTATGAATTCACTGTACAAAAGTCTTTAAGATCCAAAAGTGGAATTAAAAAACAACTGATAGAATACTGAACAATATTTTCTTAACCAATATTTAGGTATCCTTATACAGTAGAGCATCATAATACCATGAGTTTTCTAATCAGTATAAAAAGTTTGACAAAAAACTTTACTACATATATTTTAACCATATAATAAGCACATATTCCTAATTTAGTTTAGTCTCTGGAGAAAAATACTGTCCATTGTAGGGCCAGTAGTCTGCAGGTTTCATGTGGCCTGGCAAGCATGTATTAGCATGTATCAGTAGGCTTTGTCCAAATTTGAACAAATTGAAGAAATTAATCATGAAAAAATATTTCTATATATTTCTACTTAAACTCCTATGTAGATTGTAGGCAAAAGAACCCATCTCGATTATAAATTGGGAAAAGACAAACACTGCTTCTTTATCAGGGCAAAATATACTTTTGTATATTGTATATTTTGTATATAATTCATCTCCATGAATTTTATCAAACTGATTTAAGCAATATATATTTCATATGCAATTTTGAATTGAGCTTTATATGAACTCTCATGTATTAATGCAAGATGTGTTTGTGGTTCTTAACCCATTCGCAATGGGTAAAAATGAACAAAAAATGGGGGAAAATGCTGAGCTCATTTTTTATACTTTTTGTGAAATGTCTCAACACATAGATGGCTCTGCCTTACCTGATTTTATTTGGCGGGAAAATTTATTTTTTACTAGTGCTAATAATATCGATGGTTATTTTTATTATAAACATTATAATTATTATGTTATAAACATTAGTAACAGCAAAATAAAATAACGTCAAATATTTTCGTAAATTAAAGAAAAAGTTAAACGGGCAAGACAGGCAGTACTCGCAACAAGTGTAGCCGTCTATGCGTAAAAACAATTAAACAAGTGAGTTCACAGTGGGCATGTCACGTATACGTGACACCCATCGCGAACGGGTTAAGCTCCTTAACATTTAAAATTTGGCTCTTGAATCAAAAAAGGTTGAAGGCCCCTGCTACACCATGTTGATAAAATGTTTAAAAAGAACTCTATTGAAAGATGGGCCCATCTTAAAAAAAAAGAAAAAAAAAAAGTAATCATACTGAAATACTGAAAATGTTTTATGACTGGATCAGCTAAATATTTTTCACCCTCAACACTGTTCTAAAATACATTTCTTTAACATGCGATGATGAATTGTAACTGCCAAATTTACACCTTCACTTGCCTCACACCTAAAACCTTAACTGATAAACAGCCTTACTTTATATAGACATTTTTTATGTGAAACAGGAAAATTAAGTGTTCATAGGAATTATCTATAACAGTCAACTAAAAATCTGTAAATACAAAAAAGAAATTGTCTGCACTGTAGACATAAACAACTATTACATGAAAGTAATTCAGTAAAACTATGATGCTTTCTCTCAAGTGACTTCAATGACATCACAATGTAAACAATCACTTCTGGCAGCCATCATGGTAGAGATCCCCCTTCATCTGTTCTAAGTGAGCTTCCCTCTTTCTAGGATCTAACTGTGAAACCTCCACTAGCTACAGCAACAGTTCATACAAGCTTAAAAAATACTAATTTGCAAATGAGTTTCTATGTATTATGCAGAAAACAAGCCAGTGATGACATGAAGTATTACTAAAATTTAGTGTATGTTAATATATAACACTCCCATTACTATGTCAGTATGAGCTTCATCACCCAATCCAGAATATACCTTCAAATACCTAATATGCAACAAAAGTTTTTCTGTGAATGGTTGGTGTAAGATAGTGATTTTATATTCAGCTATTTCAAAGTGAAAAATTAAAATGATTAAGCTATGGCTGAAAATATTCTAAACTATAACTGGAATATTAGACTACTTATTCAAATATTGTAAAATACAAATATAATAAATTATTTAATAACCCTTATCTACAGGACATGGACAAATACTCAAATCTGGTTTACAAAACAATGATGTGCAAATTATCATCTATTTAAGTTTCCACTTTTTCACTTACAATATCCTGAGGAAATTACTCTTAGTCAGGAAGCTTGTATGTGATGTTGTATACAACTACAGAGCAAAAATGTGGCATTCTTAATTCTTAGGTAGCCTCTATATTGGCAGGATGCTGGTTTGTTTGTGTCCTCACTGAATGAACATTTTTATGAGTAATCTGAGAAAATTTTCACTATCAATTCTTTTATGTGTCATCATTGAATTGCTTGAACTGTCGGGGCAAGTGAGGAAAGTTTATCATCAATTTCTCCCACAATGGATAATGTTCTCCTACACTCACGTGCACTTGTATGCTTGGGTTTTTAATCCTTGTTTCAGCTCACTTATGCCAGCTGTGGACACAGCATTAATTTGTCTTTTGATATTGATACTTTTTTTTTTTTTTTTTAATAAAGGAGTTACCACACTCTTCGGTGTCAAAAGAAATGGAAGCTCTCTATCTAAATGACTGCTGAGCATAGAGTGAGTCTATGTTGACAAAGTCTAAAGAAAATAATTCTGAGTAGACTATGTCATACTTGGAACTTGAATATATCCCAACCAATTTTGCAAATTTGCCCAAAAGCTCCTATTGTATAGCTATAAAGCTGATTGGTTTACAATGTCTGGGTCACTATCCATTTATTCACACCAAGTGTGTTCATAGGCTAAGACTATA